CCTCTGCCATGTTTTACAGTGGGGATGAGGTTTTGATGTTGGTGTGCTGTGCCTTTTTTTCTCCACACATGGTGTTGTGTGTTCTTCCCAAACAACTCAATCTTGGTTTCATCTGTCCACAGTATATTTTGCCAGTAGTGCTGTGGAATATCCAGGTGCTCTTTTGCAAACTTCAAACGTGCTGCAATATTCTTTTTGGACAGCAATGGCTTCCTCCCTGGTGTCCTCCCATGTACTCCATTCTTGTTTAATGTTTTCCTTATTGTAGATGTGTCAACAAAAATGTTAGCATGTGCCAGAGATTTCTGTAGGTCTTTAGCTGACACTCTGGGATTCTTCTTTACCTCATGCAGCATTCTGCGCTGTGCTCTTGCAGTCATTTTTACAGGACGACCACGCCTAGGGAGAGTAGCAACAGTGCTAACCTTTCTCCATTTGTAGACAGTCTGTCTTACCGTGGACACATGAACATCAAGGCTTTTAGAGATACTTTTGTAACCCTTTCCAGCTTCATGCAAGTCAACAATTCCTGATCGTAGGTTTTCTGAGAGCTCTTTTCTGCGAGGCATGGTTCACATCAGACAGTGCTTCTTGAAACCAGTAAACCCAAAACAGGTGTGTGTTTTTTATGGGCAGGACAACTGTCAGCAACACATCCATTATCATCACACTGATTGGAGTCAAGGTTGGCTCACTCCTGGCTCCAATTAGCTCTGGGAGAAGTCATTAAGCTATGGTCTCACATACTTTTTCCTCTGTGCACTGTGAATATTTACATGTTATGTGCAATTAAACCACGGCAACATCTAATGTTTGTGTAGTATTATGTTCAGCAGACTGTGTTCTCCTATTGTTGTGACTTAGATGACATTCAGAGCACATTTTATGCAAAACTCCACGTAATCCCAAGGGGTTCACATACTTTTTCTTGCAACTGTATATATACTAGGATTTTTTTTTTAAAAAATATTTTTACCAGTAATGGCGGTGATCAGCGACTTATAGCAGGACTGCGGCGGGCATTCTGACACTGAGGGGAACTGACTTGGAGTCACTGACATCCTCAGTAACACCAATACAGTGATCAGTGCTAATAAAAAGCACTGACACTGTACTAATGGCACTGGGCAGGAAGGGGTTAACATGTGATCAAAGGATTATCTGTGTGCTGTTTTACACTCTGTGTGTGCTTCACTGTAAGCACATTGCTTTGCATGGCTGTGCTATGCAGAACCATGCAAAGCAGTGTGCAGGAGCTGACAGGGGAGAGAACTGTTTTGTTTACAAAATGTTCCCCCCCCCCCCGTTGGAGATGCTTGGCAATCACCAGGCGACAACGAGTAATCACCAGGCACCAGCACGCAATCATCGGCCGGGGCCCCGTGATTGACAGCCACAGCCGCGAATGGTGGTGGAAATGCAAGGTGCAAAATCTTGTATATATACATGATTTTGCGCACTCGTGCCACCCTGTAGCAGTACTTCTGCTACAGGGCGGACGGGAAGAGGTTAAAGTGGAATTCCAAGATAAAACTAACTAGCTTAAAACTGCTCCAAACCCCTTCTAACACCTATACTAACTACCCTGTAAATGGAAGATGCATATATTTACCTATTTTCAGGGCACTCTGACCTGGTCACATGATTGGCTCCCAGCGGCTGGCTTCAGGAGAGAGCTGACAACCCTGAGCTCTGGGAATAGGCACTTGTAAGAATCCTTCTTTTACAGGGTAGTTAGTATAAGTGTTAAAAGAGGGTGGGAGCAGTTTTAAATTGATATAAAAGCTGTAAACCTCATGGGAATAAATAAACTGTGACTGACTGCTGTTGAAGCATGGAAGGGAAATGAAAGGGGGGATGCTAATAGGGGAAAAATAACCATATGGACTTCCAGTTCTTCTTTTAGGTCATTCGGTTTGAGAAAACCTAATTTAAAAATCCAATAAGTCTTCTGAGCACATCATTTTTTTTAACCTCTCACCCTCATCCAGATCTGCAGATATAGATTGGATCACTGTGACTTTGAGGAGTCACTCTTATGGTACTGTATAAAAAGTTTTTGAGATGCTATATTCTGGAACCTCATTTTGCACATTCCTCCTGTATTCTCCAAAACTGGTATGACCTACATAACTGTGGCCTACATAGCAAAGTATGCATGGACAAGTGATGAGATACACTGTATCACAATTTTAAAGAACATGTAAGAAACTCTTCTGTATGATATAGAAAAGTTTCTTACATGCTCCTCTAATTTTGATCTGGATGAGGATGAGAGGTTAAAAAGACTATGTGCTCAAGAGACTTACTGGATTTTTAAATCAGGTAGTTTCAAGCTGAATGGCCTAAATGAAGAACAGGAAGTCCATAAATTATTTGATGGTTCTCTACTCCCACTGGTCTCCCTCCTTCCTGCATTAGCATCCCCCCTCTCCCCCCTTAATTTCCCTTCCATGCTTCAACACCAATCAGTCGCAGTTTATCTATTCCCAGTTTTAAACTTAGTTATATCTAGCCTGGAATTTCACTTTAAATACTCCACAAAGTGCATTGCTTTTCCAGGTAGGGTATATATATATATATATATATATATATATATATATATATATATATATATATATATATATATATACTAATATAAATATAGTAGTAGAATAATTCAAACATGAAAAGTAAACAAACAAGCAAAAAAAATATAAAATATTCTACTGAAATGTTAAAATATTACATTAAAGACCTCAAAGTTGATTTTAAATCTTTGTAAGAAAACAGAACAGAGAAATTCCAAAGCCAAATCTATAGCAAGAAGACTGACCTGCAGCAAAAAACATATTGTCTTCTCCTGTTAGCTGCAGTATTTTATGAATATAAGGCCAATAGTGTGCTGCAGGATTCCACAGGACTTGGAGTTTTGTAACATTTTATAGCTTGATGTTTAGTGTAAACCAAAATTAAAACTAGATTTGTTTGTACAGTACAGTCTGCTGCAGATAATAGGCAGCTGGCTATGGAAGGAAACCATGTTATTGCAATTTGCTGATATATGAAGAATACTGTAATTAGAAAGCAAGTAAATTGATATAACTGGTGTAGGAAATGTGCAATCTTTCTGAAATATAACCTTTTGTTGTAACCGTTTATTAGTTATATTTTTATACTCGAATGAACACTCTTGCTGTAATGGATAAATCCCATATACTGTATACATTAAAGCTAAAACCTAAGAAATTATTATGTTTTCTCTGACCTGTGCTCTCAATTCCACCCCTGGATGCTCAGTGCAGGAAATACATGAAATGTTCTGCAGAGTGGTTCATATGCCAGCTCCCCTATCTGCCAAGGAGATATTTAGAAAACTCAGGAAAAAAAAAAAGAAAAAAACTGTTGCAAGTAAATGTAGGCATCTAGAGTTGCTTACAGCTGTACTTATAGGTATCTGATATCACTACTGCCTCCCTACTTTCTCCCTGTTATCAACTTCTCAATATTACCTGTCTACTCACCTACTACCCTGCTAATGCTCCTCTACTTACCCTAAGTAACCTAGCTCAGCTACCACCCACTACTACTGTACGTCTTCCACCATCCCCACTGTCCTTTTTACTACTTGTATGGTCATGTACCTGCACCTAATTTTCCCTACTACCACTCTACAGCACACCTCTGCCACTTCTTTACTGCTTCTCTATTGCTCCATTACTGGTTGCACTTCCAGGTATCCAAACTCTGCCACCCTCCTATGACTCTTCTACTTGCTGCCCTACTACTTTGCTATTGCCTCCACACTACACTTCTATTTTCTGCAGTGGTAATTACCTGAGCTACTACCCCCAACTACTGCTCCACTGCCCCTCTACTACGCCTTCAGGCTAGATTCACAGCTACGCAGTTTGCGTTTGATCCGTTTCTACAGTGCTTTCTGTGGTGTATTTTGCATTTTTGCAGATGCGTTTTGCATTTTCTTTTTACATTTTGTTTCTTGTTGCTAGGCAGATTAAAAGGCAAAATGCATCAAAAGGGCATCAAAAATGCACTACATGCTTTTCTGCAGCATCTCCATTGAAGTCTATAGAACCAAAAATGCAACATTTTGTGCTTAAGAGTCCCTGACCCTTTCCAAAAAAATGCACAGGGTGAAAACGAGATGTGAACGTGTCCCTTAGGAAAGCATGTTAAATGGACAGTAGAGCATTTCTGCAAAACGCTGCGGAAAACGCTTAGGTGTGAAACTAGGTTCAAACTTACCCTCTACTGCCTGTACTGACAGGTATGTGTTTCTCTTACTCTTACTATTCCCTGCTATCCTTCTATCACCCCCTACCCATCTCCTACCCCCTATTGCTTCTCTACTGCCCCTCTGATGTTTCCCCCCTGCCCAACACTGCCTCCCTACTATCTGTACTGCTATTATCCCGACCTTCCTCTTCCCTTACTACTTAATATTATTATTATTATACAGGATTTATCTAGAGCCAACAGTTTGCACAGTGCTTGCTACCACTCTACAGTTCCCACTGTCCCAATCTGCATTCTGATTCTGCTCTTCACTAGAGATTATATGATCCTAGGGAGTTGATTAAAGGTAAATCGGATATTTACTTTGCAAGGGAATTTGCATTTTTCAATTTGCCCCAGTGCACAGCGAATGTGGTGAAGGTTCCCTTTAACCGCCTCCCGCCATATAGTAAAATGACGGATGCAAGGCGGTTCTCTCAGTCTGGGAGGACATCATATGACGTCCTCCCATTCTAACTGCGCATGCACGGCTCCGGGAGCGTGCAGCGCAGCGATCTGCAGTGCGCTGTGTCCCTTGGACACAGCAGATTACCGATCAACGGTAAGAGCCGAAGATGTCGGCACGGTCATGTGATCAGCTGTGTCCAATCACAGCTGATCAAACAGGGAAATGCAGGTTATCGTCATTTCTCTCCTCACGAGCTGTCACGCTGACCGTTCGTGAGGAGAGACGAGCCGGTAATCGGCATTCCTCGGAGGGGGACATGTACACAGATCATCAGAGCACTGATGATCAGTGTGCCCTGATTATCAGTGTAGCCCCAGCAGTGCCACATATCAGTGCCACATTTCAGTGCCACATTTCAGTGCCCATCAGTGCACATCAATGCCACATATTAGTGCCATCTGAGCTGCCTTTCAATGTCACCCATCAGTGCCAGTCAGTGCCACCTATCAATGCCAGTCAGTGCCACCTATCAGTGCAAGTTGGTGCCGCCTATCAATGTGCATCAGTTCTGCCTATCAGTGCCCGTCAGTGCTGCCTATCAGTGCCGCCTAACAATGCCTGTCAGTGCTGCCTATCGGTGCCAGTCAGTGCCACCTATCAGTGCCGCCTATCAGTGTCATATATGAGTGCTGCCTTTCAGTGCCCATCAGTGATGCCTGTCAATGCCCATCAGTGCCACCTACCAGTGCCTCCTCATCAGTGCCCATCAGTGCCACCTATCAGTGTCCATCAGTGCAGCCTATCAGTGCACATCAGTGCAGCTTCATTAGCGCACATCAATGAAGGAGAAAAATCACTTATTTACAAAATTTTATAACAAAAACTAGGAAATTCAAAATTTTTCAGTGGTTTTTGGTTTAAGAAAAAATAAAAAACCCAGAGGTGATTAAATACCACCAAAATAAAGCTCTATCTGTCCCAAAAAAAGGATAAAAATTTCATATGGGTACAGTGTTGCATGACCGCGCAATTGTCATTCAAAGTGCAGCAGCGCTGAAAGCTGGAAATTGGCCTGGGCAGGAAGGGGGTATAAGTGCCCTGTAGACTAGCGGTTAAAAAGAATAGCCAATCAAAAGGAAGTTAAATAAAAAAACAGCATTTTTCCTTTCACATGATCGAATGATGAAAGTCAGCAGCATTTCACCTCATTCACTAAGCTCTGGCGCAAATTCCCTTGTAAAGTGCATCTTCCTTTGAAAAGTGAACAGTCTAATTTGCTGTTGGCAAATCAATCCCAGGGCATCAATAAGCAGTTTAGGGTGGAACATTTCCTAAGAGTGTCAAGTATTTAATGTATTAAATAAATATATACCTAACACATCAAGCCTTATTTATCAGTTCCAATTTTACTGTTTATATATATATATATATATATATATATAGGCTAGTTTATATTTTTCATTAGCCCTCTGAAGAATGATTGGCGGTGGCTCGCTCTTCAGAAAGCATTTGACAGGCAGCAGGGAGGCATTACGGTGCTTTGTCACTGCCTGTTTTAACCCCTAATTTCTTGAACCACTGTGACACAAACACATGTATTGCATGCAGGTCCGGCACAGTTGCAGTGCTGTCCCATTCATTAAATGAGTCATGTTCTGCAGGGGTAGCAGTTGTGGGGGCAGTAAAAATGTGGCTCAACTATGGGTTTTTACATCCCCCCAGACCACAAGTGTAAAGGAGGCCATATACTGTTGCTATTTTAGTATGAGTCAGATTTAAGAGAGAGGCCAGGGGTGGAATTACAAACCAGAAGTCTTTGGAGCAACATTTCAACTATAGGTGCTATATTTAAAGTGCAGATACCGTATTTAGCACAGACATGCTTACAGCTCACCAGTGTACCATTTTACAGGCAAATTGTCATGTGGTTTCAGTAAGTACTCATTTCTATTATTCTAATATAGTGTTTCTGGCATGATTTTCTCAGCATTTCACATTTTTTGCTTATTTTCTGCAGTATAATTTCCTGATCTCATTTTATATTAGGTTTCATCTCCTTCTATTAGTCAGTGCATTCTTCATCTTTTGTGAATGATTGTCATAATGGATATATTGACAGAGTAAAATATATATATATATATATATATATATATATATATATATATATACACACAGAGAGAGAACTGCTTTTTTATGTGGACAATGAGATACTGGAGTGAGAAGGCAACATTATTGTCAGTTACACTACATGTGTCAAATCTGGCCCTCCCGGCCATTTCATGTGGCCCTCACACCTCTCCTGTAGCTGCAGCACCCTCCTCATCTCTGCCCGCTCCCCCACCTTGTCTCAGCATTCAGCAGCAGAGAGGAGGACAGAACAACTCCTACAGATCCCTTGACTCTCTGTGCCTCTGCAGCACCCCCTCGTTTCCACCTCTGCTGGGTCTCAGCATGCAGCAGACTCCAGCAGCTGACTCCAGCCCTTCTCTGATCCTCCACCCACCAGTTTCTTTGCAGAAGTAGCACAAGGTAAGAGGGTGCACTGTGATGTAAGGGAGGATGGGGGGCTGTTGACTTCTGATGGTGGGGTGCTCTGGACATCTAGTCTTAAAGATACAACCGGCCCGGGGGGGCAACCATAAGGCTGATGCGGCCCCACGATGAAACTGAGTTTGACACCACTGAGTTACACATAAGGGTTTGAATAACACAATTCATTTCATCAGCTTCTATTAGAGGTTTAGGCAGGATAATGAAACAGTAGTATTAGTAGCAGTAGTAGTAGTATAAGTAGAATTTTGCTGAGCAATAATTTAAATCTAAAATGTCTTTATGACAAAGCCATATAATAAACCATATTTGGACCTGGATGGACAATGTTGCCCCGCATCATTAAAGGAGAAGTACAGTCAAAGCTCTTTTGTCTGTATTTCTTCTATGGATGACAGGAGTGAAGTTTGTTCTGCACTCCTGTGACCTGGTTTCAGCTGACAGCGACTAATTTTAAGCTAACAGGCAGTGATGATCCCGCCATATGGTTGGGATACATCTGAGAGTCTGGAGTGGCACCTGGCTCATCCTCTCAGCGAGCCACTGAGAGCCTAAGCCAGCTGCTCCCTGCCCTTTACAGTCCAGCGCTCCAGTGAGTACGAAGGGGCAGAGCAGGCTATCTACTCACAGCAGTGGTGAGAACTCAGCAGTCATGTGATCGCTGAGTTCTCACTCTTAGAGCCGGCAGGGGACAGATGCAGCATTGGGCCAATGCTGCATCCACCTACGTAAGTATGATTTTTATACAAAAAAAATTTTTTTCCCATACTTCTCTTTTAAATCTTGTGACCCGCTCAGAGTAGAATCACTGCATTGGCCACAGTAACATGACCAATTTAATACTTTTGTGTTTTTGTACTTCAGCACTTTTAGTGGTGTGCTATGGATGTAGGTGCAATTAAGAAAAAAGCAAAAGTATACTTATTGTAAGGGCTTATTTGCTGTCCATTGTGTAAGGACAGTCACAAAATTACATTTCACTCACTCCTATGGACTGTATTGAAGCTATGGTGCATTGACATGTGCTAACATTAGGTGAGGTGATAAATGATTGAACAGTACTGACTGGCATATTCAAGGCTTTGAATATCTTTTTATATCCTTTTCCACCTTTATAAAGTTCCATTACCTTGTTACAAAGGTCTTTTGACAGTTCTTTTCTGCTCCCCATGGCTCAGTATCAAGCCTGTTCAGTGCATCCAGTTAACAAACTCATTGACTATTTGTACATAGACACTAATTGCAATTTAAAAAGCCACAGATGTGGAAAATTAACCTTTTAATTGCCATTTTAACCTGTGTGTGTCACCTTGTGTGTCTGTACCAAGGCCAAACATTTCAGGGTATGTAAACTTTTCATCAGGGCCATATGGGTGAATTCTGTTATCATTATGACTTAAAAAGGAGCCAGACAAATATGTGATAACAAATGGCTTCATATGATCACTATCCTTAAATAAAAGACAGTTTTTTGGCATGATCAGTCATATTTTCAATATATAATATAATTTGCTTTCCAGCAGTGTTTGCCCTATTGAGAACCGTGAACTGACGTATATTTGTAGCAATGTTTTTAAAGGTTCCATAAAATAAAAGTTTTAACCTATTATCTGCATTCTGAAGTATTGGTTGTTTTTCAAACTTCTTGCAAGTTTTATTTACCCTTTTTTAAATAAGTAAAACAATTATATCTGCTTTAGTTACAGAGCCGAATTTATCTAAAATAATATGTTTTTGATGTTTTCTCTAGGCAGAGTTCAGATGCTTCCACAAGCTGTATACCTCTTATTTGGTCTGTTAGAAAATGGTCACACAGTCTATGTTCATTGCAATGCTGGAGTTGGCAGATCTACAGCTGCTGTTTGTGGATTCCTCATGTATGTCATTGGCTGGAGCCTCAGAAAAGTGCAGTACTTTCTTGCTTCACGAAGACCAGCAGTCTATATAGATGAAGAAGCTATGATACAAGCCCAGGGGGATTTCCATAAAAAGTTTGGTCAGCTCCGTTCCACTGTGTGTCGGATATAATAAACTCATGACTGTAGGAAACTTACATTTGCTGCATATAAGTACAAGTATAAGTTTACATTCTTTTGTTTCAATTAAATGTTCTGTCCCTTTATTAAGCTACTTAGGTATAGTTTATTGCAAATCATATAAAAATGGTTACTTGGCATTAAAACATTACTTGCATTTTATTACAGACATAAAAGGTCATATCTAGTGTATATATTGCTGAAGGACAATAATTTTTGCATACTATACTAGTTTGAAAATTATAATTTAGAAAAAAAATGAAAAATGAAAATGGAGCTTTTAAGACATAAAAAATACACACACACACACATGCATCTCAAAAGATAATTAAAATACCAACTCTGTTACGTGTACGTGTGTGTGTGTGTGTGTGTGTGTGTGTGTATATATATATATATATATATATATATAGAGAGAGAGAGAAAATAAAAAAATGTATGTACTGTTACACACAACATTTTTGAATGCTATCCTTATATCAAAAGCTCTCATGTAAGCTTGCTTTTCTTTAAAGGAGATAAATGTGTTAAAAAGGTAAAAAACGAAGGTGGAAAGGAATTTTTACTTTTTTCTGACCTATAAATTAAATTGAAGACTATTCTATCTCCAAAGATAAGTGCTCCAAAAGTCATCTGACTTTCTTGACAAAAGGTAATGCGAACCTAAGGCTTTTCAGTCAGTTCAAAGTCTATATTCTTAATTTAATTTGCTGCATTAATTCTGATATACTAAAGTCCATCAATCACTTCAACTGTAATTTCAATCCTGTAGAACAGCATCCGTTTAATTGATTTATATTATATGACACTTGACAGGCCTGAAAAAGCTGCCCCTCACGTGTAATTATTAAAACAAATATTGTCAGCCAACTACTGTGAAAAAATGGGGAAGGTGCAGGGGGTCTTCTGTCTTGGCTGAAGCTGTGAAACTCAAAATCAGTTTTTTGTTCAGTTCTTTCCATATGATGTTGCTGCTGCTCTAGTTCATTGTTATTGGCTCGTTTATGTTATTTACAGGTAAGTTTACATATTTATATGGTATAAAAAATGATCACATAAATTCAGCACATGTCTGAGTAAACTTTGAAGTTATAAATTAGCTGTCTCCCTAAAATTATAAAATCATATTTGCTGATAAAATGTAGCGGACAGTTGTACTTTGTTTGCCATTGATAAAAGCTGGAAAATGTAGGAGGAATGCAGTATATACTTCTTGGAGTAGTTACATTTGCAAGCGTTTTGGGGCAGCTCAGGT